CTGGTAGTTTCAAACTGCTGACCTTGCGGCTCGCAGCCCGATTCGTAACCACTACGCTACCTTACTAGATGGAATACACAGAAATTGAATTGACTATATCAGGGACAGATGGTGGAACAAACTATCAACTGCTCATATGCAATTTCAGGCTGAAGCAGAAGAAAATGAAAACAAATTCATGAGAGTCAAAATATGACTAAGAACATATCCCACCTGAATTTAGAAACCATCTTAAAAACAGATTTGATGCATTAGACACAAACGACCAAAGACCAGAAGAATTGTGGGATGGCATCAAGAACATCATTCAGGAAGAAGTAAAAGGTCATTAAGAAGACAAGAAAAAAGAAAAAGACAAAATGTACGTTGGAAGAGACTCTGAAACTGGCTTTCCAGTTGCTAAAACAAATGGATAAAATGAGAAGGTAAAAACAGCTAAACAAAATTTCAAAGGGCAGTCAAGAAGACAAAATCAGGTACTATAATGAAATTTGCAAAGACCTTGAGTTAAAAAACCAAAGTGAAGAACATGCTCAGCATTTCTCAATCTGAAAGAAATGAAGAAAACATTCAAATTTCCACTAGCAATACTGAAAGATTATATGGGCAAAATTATTGAATGATGCAGAAAGCATCAAAAGAAGTGGATGCAATACACAGAGTCACTGTGCCAAAAAGAAATGGTACAAGATGTAGCATATGATCAATAGACAAATGGTACTGAAGGAAAAAGTCCAAGGTGCACTGAAGGCACTGGCAAAGAACAAGGCTCTGGGAACTGATAGAATGCAAACTGAAATATTTCAACAAAATGATGCAACGCTGGAGGAACTCACTCATCTCTGGCAAGAAATCTGGAAGACAGCAACCTGGCCAATTGATTGCAAGAGATTCTGTTTGTGCCCATTCCAAAAGAGAGGTGACCAAAAAGAACGCAGAAATAATCAAACAATATCGTTAAATATCACATACAAGTAAAATTTTGCTAAAGATAATTTAAAAACAGCTGCAACAGTACACTGACAGAGAACTTTCAATAGTTCAAGTGGATTCAGATGAGGACATGGAAGGAGGGCTACCAATACTGACATCAGATGGATCTTGGCTGAAAGCAGAAAATATCAGAAAGATGTTCACCTGTGCTTATTTGACTATGCAAAGGCTTTTAACGCTGTGGGTAGCAATATAGATAACATTTCCAACATACATATTATGCTCATGAGGAACCTGTACACTAAACAGTTTAAAATCAGGAAAGGTGAGCACCACCGTTATATTCTTTCACCATATTTATTCAATCTATATGCTTAACAAACACTCAGAGAAGCTGGATTATATGAAGAAGAATTGGAGGGAGATTCATTACAAACCTGAAATATGCAATTAATATAACCTTGCTTGCTTAAAACGAAGAGGACTTAAAATATTTACTGATGGAAGATCGCAGACCACAGCCTTCCATATGGGTAGCCCCTCAATGTAAAGAAAACAGAAATCTTTCACCATTAGACCAATGGAGAAGACTGAATGAAGATAAGATTGAAGTTGCCAAAGACTTCGTCTTGCTTGGATCCATCATCAACACTCATGGAAATAGCAGTCAAGAAATTAAACAACGTATCACATTAAGCAAATCTGCTGCACAAGACCTCTTTTAGGTGTTCAAGAGCAAAGATATCCATCTGAGGATTAAGGTTTGCCTGACCCAAGCCATAGTATTTTCAACAGCCACATACGTATATGAAAGTTGGACAATGAATGACGAAGACTGTAGAATTGATGCATTTGACTTATGGTGTTGGAGAAGAACATTAAAAGTACCATGAAATGCCAGAAGAACAAAACATTATGTGTTAGAAGAAGTACAGCCAGAATACTCCTAAGAAGCCAGGACGGTGAGACTTGGTCTGTCATACTTCAGACATATTATCAGCATGGACCAGTCCCTGGAAAAGGACATAATGCTTGCTAAAGCAGAGGGTCAGTAAAAAAAGAGGAAGACCTCCAGTGAGATAGAATGGCACAGTAGCAGCAGCAATGGGGTCAAGTGGAACAATTTTAAGGATGGTGCAGGACTAGGCATTGTTTTGTCCTGTTGTGTATAAAGTAGCTTTGAGTCAGAACCAACTCGACAGTACCTAACAACAACACAAAAATTATGGATCAGTAATAGAAGAGTGAATAGGGCAAGGGAGGAAAAAAGTCCTTAGATGCCAGTATCTATGGTAAAAAAAAATAAACAAACCCACTGCCATCAGTCCAAGTCCAACAAAGAGCAACCCTGTATAGGGTATTTGAAGCTATAAATCTTTGATGTTGTTGTTGTTAAGTGCCATCGAGTCAGTTCCAATCCATAGCAACCCTGTATAGGGTTTCCAAGTAGCAGCTGGTGAGCTTGAACTGTCGGACTTGTGGTTAGCAGTCCAGTGTTTACCTTACCAGCCAGGGATCTTATAATGTGGTGGTGGTGGTTATGTGCCATCAAGTCGGTTCAGACCCATGGTGACCCTATATAGGGTTTCCAAGGAGCAGCTGGTAAGCTTGAACCACTGACCTTGCAGTTCAACACATAAACCCACAGCACCACACCTATACAATCAAAAATTTTAGCTGAATCTTTCAAAGATTTTTTAAATTAGATCTAAAATCTACAAAATAACTTATTAATTTTGACCATTTAACCAGGAAAGGTAATCAGATTAAGGCAGCAAGTATCAATGAAGTATTTTTTCTTTCCATACTGCAAAGAATCTCTTTCACCAAATTAGATAATGTTTGTAGCTGCTAAGTCTTTAAGGACAAGTTAAGCAATTCAACAACAAAAAAGAAAGAAAGAATTTTTAAAAATCTAATGTGTACAGTTGTTGGTAAGTGCTGTCAAGTTGGTTCGACTCACAGTGACCCTGTGTAAGATTTCCAAGGAGCAGCTGGTGAGTTTGAACCACCGACCTAACAGTTCATACCAGACTTGAAGTCCAGTGCACTAACCTACAGCGCCATACCAGGATGTTGTTATTGTCAGGTTCCATCGAGTTGCTACCGACTCATAGTGTCCCTGCACAACAGAACGAAACACTGCCTGATCCTGGGCAACCTCACAATTGTTGCCACAATTGAGCCCATTGATGCTGCCACTTTGCCAATCCATCTCGCTGGGGGTCTTCCTCTTTCTCTCTGACCCTCCACCTTACCAAACATGATATCCTTCTCCAGCAACTGGTCCCTCCTGACAATATGGCTGAAGTATGAGAGATGAAGTTTGGCCATCCTTGCCACCAAGGAGCACTATGGCTGCACTTCTTGCGACATAGATCTGTTGGTTCTTTTGGCAGCCTATGGCACCTTCAATATTCTCCTCCAACACCATAACTCAAAAGCATCAATTCTATGGTCTTCCTTATTCACTGTCGAGCTTTCACATGCATATGAAGTTATTGAAAATACCATGGATAGTGCAGGTTAAAAAAAAAAAAAAAGCCAGTAATCTATGAGATAAAAGCACTGATGACACAGTGGTTAAGCACTTGATTGCTAACAGAAAGGTCCGTGGTTTGAACCTATCAGTGGTTCTGAAGGAGAAAGATGTGGTATAGGCTTCCATCAAGATTTACAGCCATAAAAACCCTATAGGAGCAATGCTATTTTGTTCTATAAAGTCATTATGTGTTACAATCCACTCCACAGCAAGGAACTTGTTTTTTTGTTGTTTGTTTTATCTATCAGATACAACATGCCTCCTGGGTGAAAACCATGGCAAGCTAAATATTTTAGAGCAGAAAGATGTCAGGTTTAAGAAGATTCCAAAGATGACGTAAAAGCTAGAGTATTCCCTTCTTCTTCTGCCCACCCTAGGGAAAATTTAAATCCTTGTTAAATTTTAGTGATAAAACTACATTTTCATTTCTATTAAACAACCTCCACTTCTCACCTTTCATACCATCTACTAGTGCAACAGACATTAAGTCAAATCTGAGGCAAAGAAAACAAAGTTAGTGGATATTCACTTTTTCTTAACCTATCAAATCTTTGGTCTTACCAAATCCACCTAGAATTATATTACATAAAACAGCAAGACTTACCAAACCATCATGATCCACTTACCAACTGGTCTGGATTAAGTCGCTCTCCATTCTTCAGGCGATCCTTGTAATCTTCCAATTTGAGCTACAAAAGAGAAATCTGTATCAACTATTAAAAAAACTAATAGTGGTTACGGAATCGATTCTGACTCATGGTAACCCATGTGTGCCAGAGTACAACTATGCTCCAAAGGGTTGGAAATGGCTTTTTTTTAATATAGATGACCAGGCCTTTCCTCCAAGGCACCTCTGAATGGATTCCAGCTGCCAATCTTTTGGTTAGCAACTGAGCATATTAGCCACTTGTATCTTCCATGAAATGCTGAAATATGAAATTCTGAAGCAAATAAATATCAGATCTCATTTCTTATGAAAACAAAGTTCATAAAGTAAGCTATGATTCTGACATGCCATTTTACAAGTCAAGACGCAAATGTATGAGTCCCAGTCCAAAAATAAAGGTGTGCGTATATATAGACAAACAATTAACACTAGCCTAGAATTACAAGTTAAGCAGTCTTTAGAATACTTAATACACAGGGACTCATCTAATCAATGCTAGACCCTACCCCAGAGGTGCTCAGAGGCAATTTTGCTCCCCAGTGATAGCTGGCAGTATCTGGAGACATTTTTTGGTTGTTAGAATTTGGGGTGATTAAGGAGGAGGTAAATAGAAAGTATTGAACTGACTCCATGGCACATAACAACAATTATTATTAGCATCTTGTAGGTAGAAACCAGGAATGCTGCTAAAAATGCTCAAGGTAACCCCAACAACAAAGAATTATTATCTGGCACAAAAACATCAGTAGTACAGAGAAATCTGTACTAACTTTATGCTTAGAGTATTAGCTCAATTACCTGTTGAATTAGTGTCATTTGCCCAATCAAAAACTTCCTATGGGAGTACAGAAATGTAATAGATTTCTTTTCCAGCATTATAGTAGTCTCAAGTTGAAGCTATTTTTCACATTAAATTTGGTGTTAAACTTAAGGAACTACATGAAAAATAATTAATTAATTGGCCCCATAACAATATGAACCCCCAAGACATTCCAAAAAAGGACTCCTGGTGTGATGCTGTAGGATCAGCACTGGACTGCAAACCACAAGATAAGCAGTTCAAACCCACCAGCTGCTCCTTGGAAACCCTATCTATATAGGGTCGTCATGAGTCAGAATCAATTGATGGCACTTACCAAGACATTCTAAAAACATTTGCTAGGTCCATCCCATATTGGCATTATGGTTTTAAAAATGCCTTCCTAGAAGTTTGAAACAAAAGCTTGGTATCTTCAGATGTTAAGTGTCGTTGAGTTGATTCTGGCCCATTAGAGACCCTGTATAGGGTTTCCGAGGAGCGGCTGTTGAGTTTGAATGCAGACCCTGCAGTTCAAACCAACCTTGCAGTCCAGCACATTAACCCACAGTGCCACACCAGGAATTGTGGTGTGGTGCTGAGGGTTAATGCACTGGAGTGCAGTCGGTCTGAACCTCAGGTCGGCAGTTCAAGCTCACTAAGACGGATGCTCCTTTGAAGCTCCAGGGTCGCTATGGGTCAGACCTGACTTGACAGCCTCCACAACAACGGTTGTTAAGTGCTGTGGAGTCAGTTCCGACTCATAGGTACCCTCTATAGGGTTTCCTAGGAGCAGCTGGTAGGTTTGAACCACCGATCTTAGAGTTCAAATGGAACTTGCAGTTCAGTGTATTATCCTAAATTAAAGAGGTACCATCTGGTGTGGTGTTGTAGGATCAGAAGTAGACTGTAAACCACAAGGCTAGCAGTTCAAACCCATCAGTTGTTTCTTGGAAACGCTATACAGGGTTGTTGCAAGTTGGAACCAATTTGATAGCACTTAACATTAACAACACAGCTAAGGTAGAAATTGTAGAAAAACTTAATGGAAACAATGAAATTTTTCACCAAACTTCTGAAGTCCCCTCATAATGTGGTTCTTTCAACCGAGAGAAAATATTAATGAGTCTCCATCAATAGAACCTGAGCTTTGACTAGTTTTGAGAAGTGGAAGAGAATTCATGCTGATCCAGTCACATTCAACTTACCACACTTGTGATCAACTGCATGCATTTGAAAGACAACCAGTGAAAACTAGGGGTTCAGAGAAGCTACCAGTAACTAGACCTTCTTAGAGACTCGAACTCACTACCTTCATTACCTTCGGAGCTTAATAAAAGAAAAACATAGCCACACCCCTCTACTAAAAGCAACTTACTTATAGTTTAAGATAATTCCAAGTCCCAGGCCATTTAATCTGATTTGTCACAAGCAGAAGGGAATCATGACACAACAAAGCAATGTGCTTCACTGTTTCAGACTACATGACTCAGGAAATAAGGAATGATCTGGATCTTTCCAACAGCATTTACTGTAATGTTAATAATACCCTCTGAACCTCTTTAACAACAAGGTTCTCCACAATGCTTTCACCTACCAATAGTTAAGTCATCACCTAGCAACACAAAAATTAGTGCTCAAACATTTTCTGATTCTACTATGATTAAAGCTTCCAATGCTGCAGCAGCTGTACTACGATCTGAACTGCTGCAGAAATTTAAAGAAAAGCTAAAAAAATCAGGCTATTACTTACATTGGGAACACTGATACCACATTCAGTGAATTAACTTGACCTAAAATAGCAAGTTCATCAAATATTTCAGCAGTAGCATGCATAACAATTCTACCATGAATATTTTTATTCAACAGTGTTGACACACAGAAAATGTTTAATACATCCAATATTTAGTTTGTTTTCAGTCAGCTACATACCAAGGTTAAATCTTTAAAAACAAATACCTACAAGCCCTAATAGAAAGCAAAACTGTAAGTCTCTTAACCCTTGTTTAAGGTCATACACATACAACACGGCTGTGGGGCAGGGGCAGTTACCTTTTTTTTCTCAATATTTCTAATTTTGTGTTTAAGGCATATGAGTCCATTATCAATGTAGGTTTCATACGCTTGGGAAGGAGAGGCTGCAGAACTGAGAATAGGGTGCATGGGGCTCATGGCCCGTTGGTTTTCCCCATGCTGACTGTGATTCACCTGGGGCTTGGCTGACTTCATATTCCCCTTTCCCTCCTCAGAATGGCCTGAAGGTGACTGGTAACCTGAAGAAGAGGAACAGAGTTGCACCACTGAAACAGGTAAGGCTGAAGGGTATTGGGGAGTAAAAAAAAAAAAGTTAAATATAAAAGTAGAAGTTTTAATTTCCCTGAAAAGTTTAAATCCAATCTCTCATGATCGTCTTCACAGAACTGAGCTCATCCACCTCACTACTTTTAAAGCATTTAGTTCAAGCACTAGCCAGTAAGGATTGTCTTTGTACAGAAAAAAATCTACAATATACGAATGTTTCCAGAAATTCAATTTCCCACATAGGGAGGAAGAACTGCTAGTCAAACAATGGCTTCAGAGCTCCTCTCCTCACCTAGTCCATCCACATTCTGAATATTTCTACCCTCAAGTGAAAACAAAAACCTACACACACACACACACACCTTGGGACTTCAAGACTGGCTGTCTGAACCATTTACATGATCTTTCACCAATAGTTCAATCCTGAACACACACCTCACTTTTACAGTTCTCAATTACTAAAAAGCACCAGATTCTTAAGCAAGAACGCTAACTTCCCTTTGATTGACTTGAGGCCTACAAAGTTAAGTGCTTTAAGATTTGACATCTTTAGCGAGGTAGTCCTTCTCGAACTTTCGAGGACCCACTTTTTTTTTTTTTCGAGTTAACTTTTCTATAGTGCTTTGTTTAGACTAAACCATAACCGCTCATAGCTAAACCACTTTAAGTTCTCCTAGTGAGCCTAACAGTGACCCTAGGCTCTACTGCCCCTCGCATCCTAAATACCCATCCACTCCCCTTATAAGCATCCCAAAGCAACAGCCTGGTGGCCAGTGCACACCAGTCCTAATCCCATCAAACGTCCGCAGGCACACCAAGGAGGTCGACCCCACCCCCAACTATTTCCACAGCCCTTCGAATGCCGCTACCCTGAGAGCACTCGCTTCTGCAGGTGCGGCTGTGGAGCACCACCCAGAGGAAAGCACACTGGCCGCCCGCCCTCTAGGGCCCCGCCCCGCCCGGGCCGCGGGAATGCCGAGTCGCCCCTTCACGTCGCGGCGGCGACGGAGACGGCGGCTTTGCCCACCCTCACTCGGCCGCCACAGCCAGGCTTCGCCTCCCCAGGCCGCGCGGCCGCCGCCACCCGGGCCCGCCTTCAAAGGCTTGCCGAAGCCAGCAGACCTGCAGCGGAGGACTAAGACCAGCCGCACTCAGGTCTCCTCCTCCTGTCCCCTCCTTCTCCCCGCCCTCAGCAGCGGCTGTAGCACCTAGCACTCCGCCGACTCAGCCGCTCCGCCAGGCCCGCCCTTTCCGCCGCTTCTGATTTATATAGGCCGCGCCCCGCCCCTCCCGCGCGCGTGTGCCCTCTGGCCGCCCGACACCGCCTCCTTCCGGTGCTCCCAGACCAGGCGCCGACGGCCTCGCAGGGGGCGTGGATTCCAGGCTCAGCTGTAGCTAGAAAGCCGTCGGGAGAGGGCGTGTTCTTCAGTTGATTGCATAGATTACGGGGCACCCAGGTGCGTCCGGCTGTGACGGGATGAGTAGACCGCGGTAAACCTATCCGTTCTGTTCCTCTTGCCCACTTTACTGATTGCATCCAGCCCCAATTTGCTGTGCGACCTTGAACAGGTCATTTCTATTACTCAAAAAAGGCTCGCCCTTTGTGGAATTGCCAAATAAACCGAGTTTGTGACCCTGGTGGTTTAAGGTGGGCACTCTTGAAACACAGGGGTGCCTTTGCCCCCACAGTCCAACCTTCAGAGTTGTTGTTAAGTGCCGTTGAGTCGGTTCCTCATAATTGGCTCAATAAATAACATGATGTTGATGTTTTTGTTGTTGTTAAGTGCCGTCCCATAGTGACTCTGTATAGGGTTTCTAAGGAGCAGCTGGTGAGCTTGAATCACCAATCTTGCAGTTCCAACAGCTTTGCAGTCTGGCACATTAACCCACAGTGCCACACCAGGAGTCATCCTTCAGAGTAGGATGGGACAATCACTACTCCCTCAGAGGAGGACTCAAATTGTTAGGACAGAGTACTCAAGTCAGCATTACTGTAAAAACAGAGTGGGTGATTCAGCAACCTTCCATAATAGATTTGTGCTTATTTAGGTTGTGCTACTATACTAGTTGATGTTTAAAAAGATTAATTCATAGGCATGCAGAGAAATTTTGGGGGAGGGGAGGTTTGTAAAATTGCATAAAATTAAGAAAAGGGACTGGAAAGATGAAAGAGTTTCTGAAGGAAAGGATGGTGATTCTTGTACAAAACGAGTTAAAAATAGTCTTCCATCAATACTTTTTTCCCAACATAAGTCCAGCTGTTATATCAAATAAAATTATTTTATGTCCTGACTGTTTTTTGGTTAAGTCCTGCCAAGTCAGTTATGACTCACAGTGACCCTATATAGGGTTTCCAAGGACAAACTGGTGGGTTTGAACCTCTGACGTTGTGGTTAACAGTTCATTGCTGATCCTACAGTGCCATATCAGGTCTTGACCCTGAGATTCCCATAAAAAATTATATTAGGCTAGCAAGAGAGGAATAGAGAAAAATCAGAAGTAATAAAGGAACAATGGCTCCGATGTCAAAATCTTGACCAAGTCCATAGACACACACACAAATTATCTTGAATTTAACATTTTCTTGATACAGTTTATTATTTGTTTTCTTTTCAGTGATTGGTACATATATCCTAATGTAGCCTTTTAATTTTGAATCTCTGAATCCCACATTTGACTTTGAGCATCAGACAAAATTTGATTGTTCATTTGTCTCATTGTTTATAACCAGAGAAAGAGCTGAAGCTGCTGAAGGGGAGGGAAGGAACGCTATGCTGTCCTGCTTGACACCACGCAAAAATGGTGGATGTGGAAAAATCAGAAGACCACTAAGTTATAAATTATGCTTGTTTGGAATATGTTCACAGCTTAGAAATATTGTTGTGAAGGTGCTGTTGAGTCGGTACCGACTCGTAATGACATTATACAAAACAGAATGAAACACAGCCTGGTCTTGAGCCAACCTTACAATCTTGCTGTGCTTGAGCCCATTGCTGTTACCACTGTGCCAATCCATCACATTGGGGTCTTCCTCTTTGCTGACCCTCCAAAAGAGCAACCATAATGTCCTTCTTCAGAGGCTAGTTCCTCCTGATAACATGTCCACAGTAAGAGACTTGAAGTCTGGCCATCCTGCCTTCTAAGGAGCATTCTGGCTGTACTTCTTCCAATACAGATTGGTTTGTTCTTTAGGCAGTCCATGATACTTTTAATATTCTCCTCCAACACCATAACTCAAATGCATCAATTCTTATACCATCTTCTTTGTTTTTCATGGTTGTTGTTGTTAAGTACCATCGAGTTGGTTCCAACTCATAGCAACCCAGTATAGGGTTTTCAAGGAGCAGCTGGTGAGTTTAAACTGCCAACCTTGCGGTTCAAACAAACCTTGAGGTTGCGTGCTTATCCTACAGTGCCACACCAGGACTCCATTAAATCACCCCTAATATGATGATGGGTGGAGTCCTGGTGTGACGCTGTGGGTTAATGCATCAGACTGTAAAGTCAGTTTGAACTGTTAGGTCAGCGGTTCAAGCTCACCAGCTGCTCCTTGGAAACCCTATACAGGGTCACAGTATGGGTTGGAATCAACTCAATGGCACTTAATAACAACAACAATGTGATGACTGCAGTCCTAGTGTGACACTGTAGGATAAACACTCAACCTCAAGGTCAGTGTTGAACCATACGGTTGGTGGTTCAAACTCACCAGCCGCTCCTCAGAAACCCTATACAGGGTGGCTATCACTCGAAATTGACAGTAACAATGTGATGGCTGCAGGAGAAAGAGGAGACTTTCTGCTCCCTTAAAGATTTACAGCCTCGGAAACGCTATGCAGAGTCGCTATGAGTTGGAACTGACTCCATGGCACATAACCACCGCCACTACCAATGTGATGGTTGGTACTGTGGTTGCCTTGGCAGGGCCAGACCAAATGATTTCACGGGCCTTATATGGCCCACAGGTCAGATGTTCCCCAACCTGGTATATCATATTGTGCCACAGCTAAATCTGTATGACCAAAGAGATGCTTTTTACCAGGACAATTTGAAGACTACCGTTTCAAGACTAATCAGACTGATATGTAAACTAAGGAACTCTGGTAGTGTAGTGGTTACGAATCAGGCTACTAACCTCAGGGTCAGCAGTTCGAAACTACCAGCTGTTCTGTGGGAGAAAGATGAGGCTTTCTGCTCCTGTAAAGATTTACAGCCTCAGAAAGAAACCCTGTACAGGGTCGCTATGAGTCAGAACTGACTCCATGGCATGTACCAACAACCATAGGGCTGGGACTCCTGGTATGGCTCTGTAGGATCAGCACTGGACTGCAAACCACAAGGTCGGCAGTTCAAACCCACCAGCTGCTCCTCAGAAACCCTATACAGGGTTGCTATGAATCAGAACCCAATTGACAGCTCTTAACAGTAACAACAACACCATAAAGCTGTGGTGCTGTAGAATATGCACTGGACTGCTAACTGTAAGATCAACGGTTCAAAGCCACCAACCGCTCCTCAGAAGTCCTGTACAGGGTTGCTATAAGTCAGAACTGACTCCACAGCACTTAACAACAACATAGGGTCCTAGAGCCCTTGTGTGGTGGTGTAGGATAAGTGCTGGACTGGAAACTTCAAAGTTGGCATTTCAAACTCACCAGGCTGGTCTCAAAAACCCTATACAGGGTCGCTATGAATCAGAACCAACTCAACGGCACTTAACAACAAAATAGGACCCTAAGAAGCCCTAGTGTCACAGTGGTTAAGCTCTTAACTACTTACCAGTAGTTGGCAGTTTAAAACCACCAGCTTTTCCATGGGAGAAAGATGTAGTGATTTGCTTTCATAAAGGCAGGGGGTCAGGAACATCGGTCCCGCCAGCCATTTATGAGGCCAGCAGAATCATTTGGTCTGGCCCCTTCCAAGGCAACTGCAGTTCTAGCCATCACATTGTTGTTAATAAGTGCTGTAGAGTCGGTTCTGACCCATAACCCTGTATAGAGTTTCCAAGGAGCAGCTGGTGGGTTTGAACTGCCGACCTTGTAGTTCAAACGGACCTTGTGACCCAGCGCATTATCCTGCAGCGCCACACCAGGACATTAGGGTGACTTAATTAAAGAATTGATGCT